TGTCATGCTCCTACCCCAGGGCCCTGCTCTCACCCATGTCATGCTCCTACCACAGGGCCTTAGCACATGCTGCTTCCTCCTCCTGGGATATCTGGATTTTCTGGACTTCCCCTGGATATCTGCAAGCTTCACCCCTTCAGAACTCTGCTGAAATGTCACCCTCTGAGAGGCCTTCTTCCCAGACACCTTGTATCAGATTACAGCCCAGCCCAGCCTTTCCTGTCTTCTCTACCTTGCTCTATTTTTTATCTCTGTAATGGTAATGGCCACCTGAAATATTAGGTATATTCCTAATTTTTTGCTTACTGTCTGTCTCCCTGGAGAATCAGGAGGGCAGGAGGTTGAGAACTTGCTCACTGCTGTCTCTGAGGTAAATCAAGCTCACTAACAACATTGTTGAAACTTTCTGTCTACTGCACTTTTGTCTGCTTGTCGTCTCGGTATTTCCCACTCTAATGGTGAATGTGGTGATTAATACATTACATACGTGGTCTAACTTCTCACAGTAATCATCCCAGTTACTATCAATGTGTTGCTACCCTACATTTAATGGCCAAAAAGAAAAAAAACACCTGCCATTGTTTTATGTGCACAGATTCTATGGGTTGGGAATTCTTGTCCAACGGAGTAGGGATGCCTTGTCTCTGTTCCACAATATCTGGGGCCTCGACTGGGAGACTGGGAGACTCGAAGGCTGAGGTGCTTCAGGGGTAGGGACCAGGATCACTAGGTCCTAGGATCACTGGCACTGTCTTCATTCATAGGTACAATGGTTGATGCTGGCTGTCAGCTGGGAACATATTGGCTAGAACTCTACATGTGCCAGTCCCTGTGGTCCCTTGACGTATGCTGGGTGGGCTTCCTTACAACATGGCAGCTGAATCCCAGAGCGAGCATCCCAGGAGAACAAAGCCAAGTGCTTTTTATGACCCAGCTTCAGAAGTCACTTAGCATCATTTTTGTCACAACGCAACCTGGTCAGATTCCAGAAGGGACATGTCCTATCTCTCGCCTGCAGAACTGTAGAGGTCACGTTATGTGAAGAACATGTGGATCAGGGACAGTCCCTCAGCCATCACTGGGAAACCCAATCTGCCCTAGCAACTCTCGGAAGTACATTTTATTGTTCTCTATGTTAAATTTATGAGAACTAAGACGCGGGAATTTTATTAAGTAACTTGCCCAAGGCTACTCAGCTAGTTAAGGGCAGAATGAAGGCTCAGGCCCAGGTCTGTGTGACTCTAAAGAGTATGACTGAATGATATCAATACATATTTTTTAATTTATTTGTACTCGATTATTTTTAAAAATAATTTAAAAGGATTAAATGCAAAATTATAATGTTTCATATTCAGAAAGTAATACCCGTAACTCATTCATCCATGACTAGTATTTTTCGGTGCTTAATAAGAAAAACTAAGTTATGTTTCCCAAAAAGGAGGCTGCAAGTTATTTTTGTTTAATGCCATCTTTATTTTATTTATTTATTTATTTTTTGCAGTTTTTGGCCAGGGCCAGGTTTGAACCCGCCACCTCCGGCATGTGGGGCCAGCACCCTACTCCTTTGAGCTACAGGTGCCTCCCTTAATGAAGTCTTTAGAAAGAAAGTGAACTAACAAATGAGTCTCATTCAGCTTTCCAGGACCCTTGGTTCCTCCGTATTGCACAACAGGTCTGGGAGGGTCCAAAATTCCCTCCTCTGCCACCCAGGAGCTTCCTGTCTACCCCACCACAGGCAGCACCTCCTACTCAGACTGTCAGAGCAGTCTGAATGGTGAATGTGATGATTGCAAGATCTCCCTGAATTGCTGGATAGGAGAGGTGACTGAGCCCCTAGAAACTGGGCCTGCTCCCATGGTTCCTGGCTGTCACGGGCATTAGAATCACTGTGAGGCCAGGAGTAGTGGCTCACACCTGTAATCCTGACACTCTGGGAGGCCAACTTGGGGGGATCCCTTGAACTCAGGAGTTTGAGACCAGCCTGAGCAAGAGCAAGATCCCTTCTCTCCTGAAAATAGAAAAACTAGCTAGGCATTGTGGTGAGCGCCTGTAGACCCAGCTACTTGGAAGATGAGGCAGGAGGATTGCTTGAGGCCAAGGGTTTGAGGTTGCTATGAGCTTGGATGGCATAGCACTCTATCCAGGGCAACAGAGTGAGACTCTGTCTCAAAAAAATAATAAAAGCATATCAATGACAATTAATGACATGGTGAGGGTAGGGGAAGGGGAGAGCAGAGAGAGGAAGAAGGAGAGAGGAGTGGGGAGGGAATAGCAGGGAGAGGGAAGGAGGGAGGGGATGGGTCTTGGTGTGTGCCACACCTTTTGGGGGTAAGACATGATTGTAAGAGGGACTTTACCTAACAAATGCAATCAGTGAGACCTGGTTTCTTGTACCCTCAATGAATCCCCAACAATAAATTAATAATAATAATATAAAATGAAAATATAGAATCACTGCAACCCTTATTTAAAATACAAATTGGGGGGAAGGGGGGAGGGTGGGTGGAGGGAGGGTGATTGGTGGGATCACGCCTATGGTTCATCCTAGAAGAGTTCATGTGAATCTCTCTAAATGTAGAATATAAATGTCTTAACACAATAATTAAGAAAAATACATGAAGGCTATGTTAACCAGTTGGATGAAAGTATTTCAAATTGTATATAAAAACAGTACACTGTACCCCATGATAGTATTAATGTACACTGCTATGATTTAATAAAAAAATAATAAATAAAATACAAATTATCAGCTGGGTGAGGTAGCTCATACCTGTAATCCCAGAACTTTGTTTGGGAGGCTGAGGCAGGAGGATCACTTGAGGCTAAGAGTTCAAGACTGTAGTGAGCTATGATCTTGTCACCACACTCCAGCTTGGGTGACTGAGTGAGCCCCTGTGTCAAAAATAAAATAAAATACAAATTCCCAGGACCTCCAACCAAAGCCTCAGCATCCCCTAGGCGAGGGGCCTGACACATATATTAAAAGTTTCCCAATGACTTTTTGAGTCTGGTGGCCACCTGTATAAAAACTGCCGCTCCAGGCTCAGCACCTGTTGTTCAGTGAATAGGGTGCCAGCCACTTCCACGGAAGCTGGTGGGTTTGAGCCCAGCCTAGGCCTGCTAAATAATGACAACTATAACCAAAAAAAAAAAAAACTCAGGCGTTGTGGTGGGCGCCTGTAGTCCCAGCTATTTGGGAGGCTGAGGCAAGCAAATCACTTGAGCCCAAGCGTTTGAGGTTGCTGTGAGCTGTGATGCCATGGCACTCTACCGAGGGCAACGTAGTAAGACTCTGTCTCAAAAAAAAGAAAAGAAAAAAAGAAAGAAAGAACTGCTGCTCCCCTCTGATGCCTCACCTGCATAGCCAAGGTCCACGGGCAGAAGTGGACTCTGAGGAGTAACCCAGCAGGTCAGTGCCAGGCTGGGCCCCCAGCCCCAGCCAGCCAATTTCCTGAAAATGCCTTTTCCCTGCTCCAACATCTTGTCCTGTGAGATTGTCAGTTTATCAGGCTGAGCTGTTCAAAATAAAGGATGATCAAACTTTAGGCCGAAATCACAAAGTTCCCCAGACCAGACCTTGGTGTAGCATAAGCTGTTGCAACAATCCAGTTTGCTTATTTTAATCCCCATAGCAGGCCAAAAGGCAAAATTATCGTCATGCCCATTTCACAGACTGGCAAACAGAGACCTTAAAAAGACATCTGATTCAGCCGCCTCCAGTTTCCAAATAGCTAAGCCCACTCCCGGGCACTGATGTCAGCCCTTTGCAAAGACTAACATATTTAAGCATCAGATCAATGCCATACTGTAGGTACAATTATTATTTCTATTTCTTTTATTTTTTATTTTTGAAGAAGAGGTTTTTCTTTTCCCCAAAAATTGCACCAATGTAAAGCAAAGCTCTAGTGGATGTGGCCAAGCCATGTAGGTGATGGCAGTACCGTCCTCACTATGCCCTCACTGGACCGCAGCACAACCCCAAGGAAAGGATGTTATTATTCCCATTGAACTGATCATCTGCTGACAACAATAGATAGTGAAACTATTACGCAGCAGGCTCTTTGTACGGGTAGTCAGGCCAGGTGCTATTCATGCATGTAATCCTCTCAGCAGGAGGTCCCATTACTCTACCCATTTTAGAGATCCGGAAACCAAGGCTTGGAAAAGTAAAGAATTTGACCAAGTTTGCACAGCTGCTAAAAAGCACAGCAGCCTATACTTTGTCATCAAAGTCTCTGGGCAGCGCACTGCCTTCCAGGACAGCTAATCTAGGATCTACTAATCCCACCCAAGTGTGCTTTTGTGTACCTTTTATCTCCGTGCCCTGAACACGTACATGGCAGACACACTGTGGGTCTTCACCTAATCCACTTCAATGCAATTAAATACATCTCAACACAACAAAGCCTGAAACGTTCGCCTCTCCTAGAAACTAGTAGCACCTGCCTTGCACCCCTCACCTCCGCAGGGCCAGGCACTGGGCCCAGCACCCAAGAGGTGCTCCCCAGGCAGCCAGTGAATTGGGGATGTGGCTTCCAAGAGATGTTTTTTTCTTCCTGAATGTCCTTGAAGATCTACGAAGAGGCGCCTCTTGTTAGCTGCACAGCAGGGCCCAGGGCAGCCTTTAGGGCCTTTGGGGAAAGGAAGGCAGGTTGTTTTGAAATGGTGGATGTGGGGGCTGCTCCCCGGTTCTGTCTCCAGAGATAGTACCCCCGGGGCAGTCCAGCAGCCCCTCTCCTGCCAAGCCAGGCAGGAAGCATGGCCTCTGCTTACCTGTTCTTCAGACTCCACGTTCAGCCCCTGGCAGGGACTCCTTCTCAGCCCTTGGGGTGTTTTCAGGAAACTCTTCAATCATCTATTGTCACCAGCTGCACTCTTCCCTGGAGACCAGGCCCTTCTCTAGTCCCACACTTGCCAGGAAGCAGTTACCTTTGTAAATGTTCTGTTTAGCCCCTCAGGGAGATCCACCCTGGTCTTGGGAAATGTAGGGTGGCATTCCAGAGGGTGTGCTGTGGAGCTGGGAGGTGGAGGTTCAGGTACCACTCTGGGTGAGGGCCTGCTACGGGCAGCACACAGCCTCCTTGCTCCTGAGGATGGTCCAGACTACCAGGCAGGAAAACTCAGTGTAACAGATGATAAAAGACAACTTATGTATTTGTGTGTGTGCGCCTTTTGACCAAGATAGTTAAAAGAACAGGGAAAAAAAGATGGCCTTTATTGATTTCTTTTTCACAAAAAAGGAAAATGAAGACTAGAATCCACGAAGGGCCCGAGTGAGCCTGGTGCACAGAGCACACACCATCAGTTGTCCCCGGCACGAGCACAAGGCTCAGACCTGTAATCTTAGCACTTGGGGAGGTCAAGGCAGGTGGATCACTTAAGCTCAGGAGTTTGAGACCAGCCTGAACAAGAGTGAGATGGGGTCTCACTTCTAAAACAGAACAATTAGCCAGGCATAGTGGTGTGCGTTTATAATCCCAGCTACTCAGGAGGCCGAGACAGGAAGATCCCCTGAGCCCAGGAATTTGAGACTGCTATGAGCCATGATGCCAGGACACTCTACCCAGGGTCGCAGAGTGAGACTCTATCTCAGGAAAAAAAAAAAAAAAAAAAAAGACAGAGAGAGAGAGAGAGAATAAGAGCTGCCTCTGCTCGAGGTGCCGGGTCCAGACCAGCAGACCCTCTCTCTCTCCTTTCAGTTCTCGTCTGCCCCGACAGTCACCTGTTCTTCATGTCCCAGTGTCTTCTCTTGAGCCCTGACCCAATCTTGTGCGTACAGGTTTAGAATATTACTCTTTGTTCCTCTTCTTCCCCTGGGTCCCTAAAGCAGGGAGTGTGAGAGCCAAACTAATTAACTCAAGTCAGCCGCATACCAAAGACCTTATCATACCTAGGTGTTACAGCCCACATCCTGACCCCCTCCCCCTTGTCCCACTAGCCCCCTTGTGCACTCAGCCCACATCCTGACCCCCTCCCCTTTTTGCACTCATCACTCTGCACTCGCCCCACTTGCGACCTTTATCCCTTCCTTCTCATTCGCTCACCTGAGACAAAGAAGACTTGTCCCTGAGCCAATCAACCCTAAACACTACCACCCTGTACCTGTCAGTTTAGGACAGACATGGTTTACCTACCAATAAGGGGATGGGGTGGGATGGACTAATGGGAGGGAAGAGGGAGGGGGATAAAGGGACTTTCTGAATAGTCTGTAAGGGCTGTTCCCGCTTTTTCTTAAAGGGCAGCCCAGGCTCTAAGCTTGAATGAGTAAAATTCCTCGTGCCTTTACAGCGATGTTCAGACTCTTAGAGTGGTGCTTGAATTAAGTCTGGGGGTTAACAGGAGCACACGCCTAGCAAATCAACAGGTAAGCCAGAGGCAGGGAGAGGACTCGTACCAGCGAGTGCTCAGCAGTCACTGCAAATGCCATTTTCAAGACCCTGCTCCCAAAGTGGCCTCCCGTGGAGGGGTCCCCATCTTGATACGTGGCAATTGCTCAAGTCAAAAATATACTACAGTCACTTTGCCTTGTTTTTCTCCCCACAGTCCATATCCAACCTGTCAACAAATCGTGTCGGATCCACCTGCAAAATACATCCAGAATTTTACACAGTGAAACATTATTCAGCCATAAGAACTAATGGAATCCTGTCCTTTGCAGCAACATGGATGGAAACAGGGGACATAATGTTAAGACAAATATCCCATGTTCCCATTCACGTGGGGGAGCCAAAAACAGTAGATCTCATGGAAGTAGAGAGTAGAACGATGGCTACAGAGGCGAGAGAGGAAAGGCGTAGAGAATTAAGAGAAATCAGTTAATGGATACAAAACTACAGGCGGATAGAGGGATCCGATCTAGCATTTGGTAGCACAGTAGGGTGACTGCAGTTAACAGTGATGTGTTATGTATTTCAAAATAGCTAGAAGAGGAGATTTGGAAAGTTCCCAACACAAAGAAATGATAAACATTTGAGGTCATGGATATCCCAGTACCTTTGATCATTACACATTGTATGCATGTATCAAAATATCACATGTGCTCCAAAAATACATGAAAACATTACATACGCATGCAAATTAAAAATAGCCAGGCTTCATGGCACACACTTGTAATCCCAGCTACTCTGGAAGCTGAGATGGGAGGATTTCTTGAGCCCAGAAGATGAGAACAACCTGGGAATGTAGCAAGACTGTATCAATTAAAAAATTTTTTTTTTTTTTTTTGCCAGACGAAGTGGCTCATGCCTGTAATCCCAGCACTCTGGGAGGCTGAGGAGGATGAATTGCTTGAGCTTAGGAGTTTAAGACCAGCCTGAGCAAAAGCAAGACCCCATCTCTAGTAAAAATTAAAAAAAAAAATAATAATTGCAAGAGAATCATTTGAGCCCAACAGTCTGAGGTTGCTTTGAGTTATGACACCACAGCAGTCTACCAGGGGTGACAAAGTGGGATTCTGTCTCAAAAAAAAAAAAAAGAAAAAAAAGAAAAGAAAAGAAAAAGGAAGAGAGGAGAGGAGAGAGAAGAGGCAAAAGGATTGCATGAGTGAGAGGAGAGAAGAGGAGGGGAGGGGAGAGGAGGGGAGGGGAAGGAAGGGGAAGAGGAGAGGAGGGAAGGGGAAGGGAAGGGAAGGGGAGGGAAGAGAGGAGAGGGGGGGGAGGGGAGGGAAGGGGAGGGGAGGGGGGGGGAGAGGAGGGAAAGTATCCAATGTACACACACCTAATATGAAAT